TGGCTTAAAGATTAAAGATGGCAGCTTTCATGTTTTATGGCTAAAAATCCTCAAGATTATAAGATGTTTGTCCGCAATACCACCTTTAACAGATTCCATATTCACGTATGGATGGTGTTTCCACTGGGATGTGTTTTTCGGCATTCACGTGTGACTGGCAATTTGGCAGTCACACCGATTCATGCTATTCATTTCGTAATTTTCAATGTTTATATATATTTAATAAACACAAAATATTAGTTTTTTACAATTTTAGGCCAATTAACACACGATTTTTAGTAATGGGAGCGATAATTTTTTACGTTTTGGTTTATTATTAATGTAATTTTATTTATTTTGTGTACTATTTTATCGTAAGAAATACCAGTATTACCCGTTGCAACTTTTATTCGCTGCAAATCGTAGTCTCTGCGTCATTCCCATCGAATGTGACTTTTCGCTTATGGGAAATTTAGGTAAAACTTATACCAACTTGATTATAATAGATTCGAAATCCCTTAAACACAATAAAAACATGAATTATGTTACATGGGAGCGAAATCCAGTATATAATACCAGAGAATGTTGTTTGGACCATAATTCCATGTATATATCTGTATCTTTGATTTTTTAAGTTTTAGACCAGAGAAGATTCCATTGATGCTAGTTCCCATAACAATTCCAAAAATTTGGGATGTTTGAAAAACAATTTCCATTTGATTTCAGTCGAAAGATTTTTTTGATCGGAAAGAACTCCAGAGTTTGCGCAGATACATCCGTTTTGCTGCCGCTTTTATCCCTATTCGTTGAATGAGATTTCTCCCGAAGCGGAATGTTTACACTGCCCCAGCCCCAGCCCCCAAAAAAACACCCATACCATCGCCCCAATGGGCGGCAGCTGTGGGCCCACATGCCGGCATGGTGCGGCGCGGCGTGGCGCGTATCTTTCAGATAGAAGATACTGCATCGCAGGCGAAGATACATTTTTCTTATTTTCTTGTTATTTTTAAACAAAGTGCACGACCCAAGAGCTCTGCTGCGTCGCTCCTTATGTAAGTGTGTGTGTGTGTTTATTTTTTGTGGCCCGTTTGCCCGTTCTGCCTTTCTTTTGTGCATCTCGCAGATACTCAATGCCGGGGCGGCGGCGGCGGCTAGAAAATGGTTTTGATGAGCCTCGAGCGGCCCCCAGGAAAACTCAATACAGTGTTTGACACAAAAAAAAAACAAAATAAAGATACTAGATACATTTCTAGATACAAGATACGATCCCATGCGATGCTGCGCTGCGGCAATGAACTCTCAATGAAAGTGCAATTAAGTGGAGGCCTGCAATGGCTGTGGCTGTGCCTGGGCCTGGGCCTGCCTGCCTGCTAATTACATTTATCGTTTAGATGTTAATTACAAAGAGAGAGAGGGAGGGAGAGGGAGGACGGGTGGAGCGAACTCTCCGACTGATTATGCAGCCAGACACACACACAGACACAGACACCCTCGAACGAACCTCTGGGGGCGAGGTCAATGATATAACACACGATGATTAACTGCCAGCAGTTTACGCTTTGTCTCTGTCTCAGTCTCCGTCTAAAGGTCAGGTCAACCAGCGCTGAGGGTCTCTGCTCGCCTCGCCACCCCTCCTCATTCCATGCCATCTCTAGATACTTTTATCTCCACGGTTTGTTTGTCGCTCTCGTAGTTTGCTTATAGTTTATGGACAACGTTGGCAGCTGCCGCATTTGGAACGGACTTAAACTGGCTTAAAATACTTAAGCCACAAGATACAATACATCCCGATACTCGCATGACTCAGAGCAAGCGAGAGATAGACACTTTATGAAAATGAAAGTAGCACTCATTCAGGTCTTAGATACATATGTGCGGTGTTTAGATAGATTTTGTCTCTGTGTAAATTTGTAAATATTGTGGCCACTCGCTCAGGGGTAATTTGTGCCGCCAGTTACCAGAGTACACTCAGAGAAAAATGGCATAGTAAAACAAGATTTTTTTAAACATAAAAAAAGTGTGTGAAATTAAATTTAAACATAAATTCGTTAAGAATTCTTTTTTTTCGTTCAGCTCATATTTAATCCAAATAAAAAATACTTTGAATATAAAGTATTAAATTTATAGGACAAATATTTAATTTATAAATATAAATATATTTTTTTTTAATTTTGTTGTTTTTTTGTTTATTATAATTAGGATTGTATTTTGTATTTTTGATTATAAAATATTATATAAATAATATTATTATAAAAAGGTTTTTTTTTTAATATGAAATAAATTTTTTTTTTTTAATATGAAATTTATTTCAATCTAATCAAACGCTATGAGCAAGCCTATTGAAACACATATTAAATTTTGAGTGTATAAATATTAAAATGGTAAACATTTTTTTCTCGTGTGTCTTACATGTTTTTTTCTTCAAAAATCAAAAGAAAAATTTGCATAAATTTATGTGTTTTGCTAAAAAAATGTACATGTCTAAACATATTGGTTGGGGTGCGGCCGAACATGATAGGGGAGGGTGCTATATAGAATCGTTTGTCCAGACAAGAGCTGGCCCGCGCGTTTTTGGCAGACCCAAAACGCGTTTCAATTCAAAAAGGGGCAGGGGGAGTGGCGGTCGGGGCAAGTAGTGAAAGCGGCAACATCTTTTACGTGGTATCTCTTGTCGCTGGTTTTCCTTAAGGCCCAAGTCGGGTCGTAGACCAGAGACGAGACTGCAATCATATTTCACCTCTGCGCCAGAGTTTGCTGCACTTGTCGTGGTCGTGGCTGCAGTTGTTTGTGGCTGCGGTGGCTATAAAAATAACCGAACAACCGAACACTTGCCATTGCCACACTCTTGGCCAAGTCTGGCAACGGTTTTGACGGCTGCTGGCCAGCCATCCACCGAAAACCGGCAGCCACTACCAAAAACGAGTTATTGTTTGCTTGATAGTACGAAATACTAGTACTCGTACTAGTACAAGTATCTCTAACTATTTTGTTGGCCGCCATTTAATTTCATTCATTGGAAAAACGACAGCCGCTGCGGCAGCGGCCAAAAAGCAGACGCAAAACTTTGCTGGCCGTTTGTCGTAATACCCTATTTAGAAAGGAGTATCACTGACCTCTGAAAAGAGGGTTACATTATCCCATAAAACACTAATACAACTTTTTTTTAATAGAAATTTTCCATTAATTTTGCCGCTTTACTTTTTCCTTACCTCGAATTTCTTTGTAATTGTAATTTCTTTACCTCAAATTTCTCTTTCAAACGAAACGCATTGATCTATCATTCGTTAGTGTTAGAAAACGTCTGAAAGCCAGGTGTTCAAAGAGCCTTCTCTTCTCTTCTTAGAGCATTTAAACTTCGAACTTTTCCCCTTAGGTTTTTCTCTCTCTCTCTCTTCAAGTTTTGTGTCTGTCTGATTTTGGTTTTCTTTTGAGTTTTTTTTCTCTCTTTTGTTGTCGATTGGTGTTTTTTTTTTACTTGGTGCATTTTCCTTTGGGGGACCATTGCGAGTCGCAAGTGATTTTCTTCATCGTCGTCTCCACTGGGTTTTAATGCCATTTTCGTGCCTTGGCTGTTGCTTCGCTGCCTTTCAGAGTTCAGTTTTTCCGGCTGCAGTTTTTCCCCCTGGTGTCTGCTGCGCAATTCAATTGCCGAATGATGGCTGGTGGCAGCTGGGGGGGGCAAAGGAGAGGTAGGACAATGGCAAATGGGATGTGGTAATTACCACAGGTAGCTGACGTATGTGGCACGTTACTCAAGCAGGTGTTTACGTGCGTCTGCGGATCTGCTGTTTGCTTTTGCATGCAAGCAATCCGATATTGATGCCGAGGCCTAGACTATTTTCTTAATGTTTTATTTTTATTTAATATGCATGATTTTCCTGGATTATTTTAGATTTGTTTACGTTTCGATTCTTGACTCTTGATTAATATTTATAAGAGTCTGAAAGCATTGGAGAGCGTTTTCGTTTTCACAAATTTTTCTAAAATATTTAAGTAGAAAAATAAAAAAGATTTCTAGTATTTTTTTAATCGCCTTCGAACAACAACAGTATCCGCAAACAACATAATTGAATCTGTGATAATATTTCATATTAAAATAAAATATCGAAAATATATTAAAAGACTTTTTTTTAATCGCTTTCGAGCCATAAATTCCCCTTTAAGTCGCACTTCCCGCTTACTCAAGACTTTTGACGTAAAAAACTGACATGAAATCTCACTCTGTAGGGCTAAGCCACACAAATGGGAGAAACAGATAGAACGCGGGAGGTAGCCATAATAGAGGGAACAAACCATTTAGTCAGAGAGAAGGCACAGGCGAGGCGTGGAAGCTAAGCCACACTGGGAGTGGAAGATAGAGGAGCGTGCGAGGCATGAGAGAGACCACACCAGTAGCTGATAAGCCACACTGTAAGAGAGGGTGCGCGCGAGGCGTGATAGAGGCAACGAGAGAATAGAGAGAAGATAGCGATCAAAGGCCACTTCGAGCTCGGACGCCCCTCGTAGGACAATGTGATACCCGTAGGATTCCCATTGGTATTTGTAGGGTATTTCTGTCTTCATCAAGTGATTCTTCCCTTTTATTGTGCTCTCTCTCTCTCTCTCTCTCTCTCTTTGTTTATATCTCTGACATTTAATTGTGCATTTCTGTGTTGTAGCATTATTCTTTCGTCTTGTAATGGCGACCCACGCGACTCGCAGAAAAACCTGAAATCCGTCATAAGCGCGAAAGACATTTATAAATTGGTTTTTGAGTTGTTGTTTCTGTTTGTTGTTTTTTCGAGCGCACAACACCCACATGATTGTATACAATAATGAATGAATGAACCCCCCGCCTATCCCCACATACCACTCCATTCCATTCCATGCGATATCTTTAATTGGCCTCAACATTGAAATGTCGAGTCGGTGGCATAATTATAGACAATAAATTATGATCATAGGCTATTTGCATACCAAGTGCGAATACTACGAGTATTGGCTTACTTATTCAGATCATATTTCCTTGATTTTCTTTCCAGTTAATGCTGCATATATGACAGACCCACACGACAGCGACTTCGACAGCGACAGCGACTGAGAGACACGTAAGTTGTTCAGCCCCCAACCCCACCCCCGCTCCGCATGAACTATAGAATATTTATGTAAATTTATCTGTACACATATATTTTTTTTTATTAATGAGTAAAACTTTGTCTGACCCCAATCCGCAGAGCAGCGAGCGAGGACTTAGGGGCAGGGTTTGGGTAGGGTCCTCCACTCCCATTTCCCAGTTGGGTTTCCTGTGCAGGCGGCAAACAATTTGTGGTAGATATGCAGATGTGAATACCCTCTAAGGGGCCAGGAAATACAAGAATCTCTTCTAGGAAAGTCTTCCATGGAATACACCTAGGTTCAAGTCCAAGTCCAGTAGGGAGATCCAGTATTAAATACAAATTTATTCACAAACAAGGAGATCCATGATGATCTTTCATTTTGAATATTCATCTCAATATAATTCTAAAATACTACCGGGTCCTGCCACGTTTCGCTGTGCCTCAAATTGTGGTTTCACGAATATGAAAAGAGGATAAACTCAATTGATCTCGAGTTTGGAACTCCTCTTTGACTATGAGAATGGCCTCTTCGCCTACAATGGCTGAGATTTCAATAAAAACTTCAAAAAATCAGTTTTTCAGACGTTCTTAACTGATGAAATCCCATACATTTTGCACTGAATTTTGATATACCATACAATGGGCAATATATAGCTCACATTCGAATCAATCAAACGAAATTTATTATAAAAAACTTTCCAAGGAGTCTACAGAACGACAGATGGGACCTCGTTCTTGCTTTTTGATGGAGAAATACAATTCGAAAGATACCATCGACTCCTTTTCCCCATGAAAGAGTGATTGGATAAAATGCTTTAATTACTTTAAACAATGACAATGTATATAGCGAATAATTAAATACTTATTCGACCTTCTGGAGCAACCATTTTCGGTTTAATTCCTCTTCATGAGATCCTCTTCGAACACGAAAGTCACATTCGTATCGAACTGTAGCCTTTTCTCGAAGTACCACCGAATCATCAATAGATAATCCCCCGTCGGCAGCGGAACACGCAGCAGCTCGGGTCTTAGGTAAAAGTCCTTGATAATCTGTGGGCCCTGTTTAAGGGAATCAGTTGGGATGTTTAGAGAAATACCCTCAAAACCTTACCACATAGGGGCACGTGTGGTTGATGTTGGTGTACTCCTTGAAGAGCCCATAGACTATGGCCACCAGGGGATTATTTGGCCTTCGAAAATACTGACACGCATCGAATTTGACCTCGTAAAGCCATGGTCTATAGCCGTTGGCCCTTTTGAAGATCTGTGAATGAATCCAAACATTGTTGGCTGAATGTAGAAGCGTTCCATTCATATTGAAGATCACTTTGTTACGACTGACGGCCTTCAGGCGACAGTAGTTGAACACGAACAAGGACTGGTTGTAGCTCTCGCAGACGAAGTTTGTGAACTTGAAGACCACCGCATCCTGTAAAGAATTGTGAATAATGAAGGACCTACACTAGTGGGGATATATTTACATTATAATCGAATGTTGAAGCGAAAAATATTCCATATAGAACGATGAACATTAGCCTGGACTGCATGGCCCCACAACGATTGATCAATGAATGGCCAAATGATACCAATGATGGAGTCATTTTATACATATATCATCCTATCCTTTTATCTATCCAAAAATCGTGATTGGTTTGCCTTTATTCCAATGCATATCAAATGAAAAGTAATTAAAACTGATTTAGCCTTTTTTTTTGTTTTTTTGTGCTAATTATCCTTCCATTTGTTATGGCCAATTTTGGGATACATGCATTAACATTAATCTGATTATTAAACCAAACATGATCTGTGTACTGGGCCTTAAATTAGGCACTCAAAAGACAGCTCGAAAGCCAGGTGTTCAAAGAGCGAAACGACAGGTACTGGCTATAGAAATGACTCGTTTTGAAATGTACGAGTATTTATGAAAACTAATAAATAGGATTATTCTTTATGATCTTTATCGTGTCTTGAAAATGATGGCTTAAACAGAGTTTAAGAAGGGGCGAGGAGGTAGGAAAATTTGTCGAATAATTTGATTATTTTCAGTGTATTCTGGCTGTGCAATATCCATGAATTGACTACGATATTATTCTCAGTGTAGGATGAAACGAAAGTTCATTGCGTTTACACTTCTTTTTTCCCCTGCTTTTACGTCTTCGTTACTTTACGGATTCTTTGCCTATGGTGATGAAATTATACACGATGGTCCGCTCCCGAAACGTTCTCCCTTTTCGGGTCTTCGTTTTTCCAGCGCTTTTCAAAGCGCTCTCAGTAGTTCGCAGAGTAAATAAGATCCGAAATGGAGTTAGCGGACCACCTCAAGCAAGTGCTTACACGCTTACAGAGCACCGTAAGAGCGAGAGGCAATCAGGGCTGCACTGCTTGCTTTTGCTGAGTGCGAGTGGGTGGGGAAATGTGTGCCCTTGCGGTGTTTTGTGTAAACATCAGGAATGAAAGAGTTTTTGTTGTTGCTTGCGTGGAATGAAATAAATAATTGATGAAAAAATGATTGAAAAAACAAATACAATTTTTGCGATAATTGAACTGGTAGCAGGGGGCAACTCTCGAAGAGTATACAACGCGTCGGCAGAGCTCTTGTTTGCCTGTTATACAATTGACAAAACGAGGAAGTGAGAGGCGGAGAGAAAGGCTACAAATGAGAGCATGAGGAGGAAAAGTTGAGCAGAACACGCGTTAAATGATGTCAGCAGGATATATGTATGTACGTATGGAAATATATTCCCCCAAGGATGCTGCAGAACTTCACTCGCCCCCTCTCACTCTCTCTCCACAGCGATGATGTCACTTCAGAGAGGAAGCGGCCCTTGGTGGGGGTGGGGGGGGGGGGGGGGGGGGGGCAGGCCATAAAATTGATTTTGCATTAAAATTCGCTTAAGAAGAAATTCCGAAGAAAGTGCGAAGCCAAAATTCGTGGCCTGGCGTTGAAACAACACTAAAAATCAATTAAATTCCTATTTATATAATTTAAAAGAAATGAAAAAAATAAAAACTAGAAACAGGCGCCTCGCAGAATCTCTCTCTCTCTCTCTGTCTCTCTCTTTGGGCCTCTCAATCTGTTGGTTTGTTGTTGGCCAACCGCAGCGTTTGCTGACCCAATTTTCCCTGGCTAAGAATAGCGAAAAATGTTTCAAATGCTTGTCGGTTTCGAACATCGTTCTGCGTCAAATTACACTCGAGAGAAGTGCAGCAGCAGTTCACAAAAATTCTACAAAAGAAAAAGTCTTTCAACAACATATTCGTTCCGGCACTCTCTCTTGGGGGATTATTGTAGAATTATTACAGCCATAATAGAGAGGTTTCCTGTCTTAAATGCCAGACCCTACCATATTTTTGTCTTCTTGAAAATACTAGTGAATTCTTGACAGTTTATCCTCGCAATCTGTCAACGCTTTGACCATCTCTAATTAATTAAATGCAAATAATTTATTTATTCCCCTACCCGTTGGCTGCCAAGTGAATTACATGAAGAGACCGTTTTAGTAGACATTTGTTGGCGCCCAACCAAAAGCCGGCCACAAGTTTTATTCCAATCACAAAAACTATACGAATTTTGTCATCATTTTTCACTTGTCAGGCAACCCGAAAGAAAAGCGCCAGGGGGCGTGTATCCGTCTCTTTAATTGTCACACTCGAGTGCATAAATACGAGTGCATCTACCACTCTCACTCTCCCTTTGGCTTCTCCGAATCCCCAAATCCGAAAATGATTTTGAGGCATTTCCGCATTCGTCGGTTTCGTCATAAATCAATTTGTTGCAATCTAAACAATTCTTTTGTGAATGTGTCTGCCTTCCGAGACGAGACGAGACGCGGCACACAAATCAATCAAGCGTCTCCCCATTTGCATATCCCTTTGTGCCCCAGAGGCGAGAATTCTTTAGTTCAATATGGAAGAGGAATTGATTGGAAATCGAGCTGTGAATTATTTGCCAACGCAACTTGTTTATTAATACTATATTTTAATCACACAACAAATATATTCTCTTCTTATTTATTAGTTTATTTTCTTTGCCAAATTTTTACCTAAAATGTTGGGAAAATTCATTAAATTTCCGTCCGTTGGAAATTATTGCTAGATTTAGGATTGTAATTTGTTAATTCCCAAACAAATTTTAGGAAATATTCGTGAAAATATACAGTAAATATTAGTAAGAACGTTGGACGCTGGACTCGACACGAAGATACCCTGTGCTCAGATTCTTTTTATAGGGATTTAGGTGAAATATCTATAGATAAAGAATCCAAGACGTGGGATTTTTTTTATATATACATATTTTTTGTATTATTTTTATTTTGTTATTATTTTTTGTTATTCTTTTATTATAATTTTTTTTATTATTTATTTTTTATTTTTGTTTATACAATAATATCACTGATACAAATTGTTGTTGTTGTTTGCCGTTAGAGCAATTTATACAACAATAATAGGAAAAATTATGATATTTACAAAAAGAAATTAATTAATAAAGAATTTGGAGGGTGATATTATTTGGTTCAATTATCTGTCCCGGTTTCTAGGGTAGAGCTCCTCTTAGATCATCCTGTTGGGAAGGAAGACTGGGTGTATTCTGGCCAGCCTACGGCGGTATCTGGTTCTCAGAAGACATTAATGGAATACTTTTTTAAATAACAATCTAATAGGAACATAATTAGAAGTGAGAGAGAGAGAAATAGTGCGCCCTCTATAAAAACTCCCCCTGCTAACCCACACTGGGAAAGAGAGAGTGAGTGCGAGCTACTTGAATATAATTTCGTACTCCCAAAACTCATTGTTTTCTTTTCCTTAAGACCTTAAGAACGCTTTAAATTTTCGTCACATTTCTCGTATATTTTGCCTTCAAAACTAAACAAATAAAAATACCAAAAATATATTCAAATTACGTGACTTTCATGAGCAAATCACAGCCAAACAAAAAAAAGGTTAGAAAGTGTTCAAGAGCTTTCTTATCGACGGTGTAGCTCCCCCACAACTCCCCCGTTCAGTCCTCCTCCTGGGCAAACGATGATGGAAACATTTGTTCAATGCGTTCTCGCTTGTAGATACAATATCTATAAATCTATAATTAGAGGTGTTTTTTTCATGTTTTACGTTCTTTTTTTTTTGTTGATTGTGACAAAAGTTTTCATTTTGTTTGTTGCTGGAATGATTCCCTTGTTGGTGGTTGATGGTTTCCTGACTTTTGTTCGATCTGTATCTAGCCGTATCTGTATCTTTATCCCCATTGTATCTTTGTCAGGGAATGCCCCTTAAATATGATGCCACTGCAGTGGCAAAGCCTCATTACCGATCAAGTGGCTCCTCAATGCACAACGTGATGCAAACGATTTGAAAATTTCAATATATAAATAAATAATACAAAATAAAAAAAATATAAATATTATAAAAATAATAAATAAAAATACAAAAAATATAAATGTTTCAAAAATAAATATTTATATAAAAATTAACATTTACAAAAAAAATAAATATTTATAAGAAAAAACCACAAAAATAAAAAAAAATTTATTTAAAAATAATAATTAAAAATAAATACATATAAATAATTCAAAACAAATATTGTGACCAAAAATAAGAGAAGATTTTTTCGGGTGAGATATAGAAAATTTCGGAAAAAGTGAAAAATTGAAAAAAGAAGAAAACTAATTGATTTGTTTATGAATGGCGGGCATTGGTATTTTCCTGGCCACAAGCCAAGTGTTCTTTTCTTTTCCTTTTTGGAATTTTCAATATAAAATTTCTTTCCCCCTCAAGAGAGAGGGAGAGAGAACCTTGATCTTGTCCGGCAACAGTAGGGGCCATGTGCAAGGCTTTATAAATCATGAAACAAAATGTGTTTTCTATCCGTCTAATCGTATGTATCTCTGAGTAATTTTGGTGTTTATTTCTGGGCCGCCCACCGTCGAAAAAGTTGTGCCCAAAGATGAGTCATTGTTAACCCTCGAACCCGAATCCTGGAAATGTGTCCACCCTGTTTTTCAATTTGAATTTGAATTTCCCTCCCTGCCTCAACAAACAAAGCGTTAAGCGACGATGGTCTCCACAGACAACAAAAATCGATAAGCGCTAAAGTTTTCATTTTCGTTGGACTTTAATTTTTATCAGCCCACCCCGCCACCGCCCCCTCACCAGCACCACCCCCAATGCCCAGGAGGTGACATAATATTGTGTCCCCAACAAGGCTGTTGTTTTAAGAGATACAAAAGCTGTGGAGAAAGAGAGAAAAAAAAGGGAGAGTGGCAGCCGTCGAGTTGTCGCCGGACCCCCGTCCCCCCTTCCTTGGGGGAGGTCGTTTGCGTGCTCTTTTTACGACTTTCTTGGCGCCAATCCCCGACCCGAAAATCGAATAGACGATGAGCCATCAGGAATTAGAAATGTTTTTGGCATTGACAATGGGATTTGCAGTGTGGGATTTTGTGGGGAATTATAGGCCAAGAAATCCTTTGGAACTTCCTCCTTCAAATATCAGGAATAATAGGCCAAGAAATATGGATAACCTTTTGGAATTCCCTCCCACAAATATGGGGAATAATAGGCCCAGAAATATGGATATCCTGTGGAATTTCCTCCCACAAATATGGGGAATAATAGGCCTAGAAATATGGATATCCTTTGGAATTTCCTCCTTTAAATATGGGGAATAATAGGCCTAGAAATATGGATATCCTTTGGAATTTCCTCCTTTAAATATGGAGAATAATAGGCCCAGAAATATGGATAACCTTTTGGAATTTCCAAGCCTACTATTGTTCCATTTCTGAATAGATTTTAGAGCTCTCAAGCAACCCTTTCTAAACGCCTGTCTCCGGTCCCCCTGACACAACAAATCCCGAACCCCGAGAGAGCTCTACAATCTACAATCTACGCACGTGATTTCCAAATTTTCGTCAGCTTTCTTTTTGATGATGAACCTGGCTCAAAGGCCCACAAATTTGGGCAAACAGAACGGAGCCGTGGTGCTGGAGGTCGTGAAGGTGCTGGGCCGTCCCGTCACCATCGCGGAGGTGGCCCAGCGAGTGTCGACGGTGTACAAGCTGCCGCTGGACCGCATCCAGCCCGTGGTGGCCTATGTGCTTCGAGCGGGCGAGGCCAGCGGGTTCTTCGAGTGCCACTTGGGCTGCTACTCGCCGGTTCCCAGCGTGGTGGAGCAACTGCGTCGCGACATTGATGAGTATGCGGCCAAAATACTTGCCGGGGGCAAGACCGAGATCTCCCCGCTGATGCGGAAGCTCCAGCGGTTGGACAAAACCGCACTGATCCCCGGAAGCAGACTTCGTCTGGTGTACCTGCACGATGCGGTACATCCAAAGTGGATATCAGTCGACGATAATGAATGAGAAGAGTCACAAAATAAACCGAAATTTAATCCCATTCGAGGCTTGGAAAATGGGGCAATGACTCGTCCTTGTTTTGTGGGGCTATTGTCCTTTGTGTGCGCGGGACATTCACATCACGTTCCACATGCCACGTTCCACATTCAACACTCAACAAACACTCACAAAGAACAAACAGCTGCGGCTTGCAGGCAAAATACTACTCCACTTTACAGTGCCCCATCTAGGTGCCCGCCCCCCCCTGGGTCCTGTGTCCATTGTCGGGTTGTTGCCTGTCTAGAAACCCAAGGAAAAGTTCAGACTCGAGCTGCAGCGTTTTACTGGCTCATTTGCCTTTGGCTTCTGTCTGGTTCACTTGTCATTGGGCTCTCCAAAAGATACCCTACAGCGGGGAGTGTGCCAGCGAAGGGTTGCCTGAAATATACATCGAGGATAGCCTGTACCGGTTTATGGTCCCCCTCCGACGTGGCCTGGAATCGGCAAGAGTTCCTCAGATCATCCCTGTTCAGGGAGAAGACTCATGACGCTCACCATCTTGCAGGCGATGCTCGTTAGGTTCTCCACTGCTGCAGGCCACTCAAATACAGCGATCACGTCTTCATCTCGTTTCAAACTGCTTTTATTCCTCCCAAACAAAATGCATGTCGTGTGCCTTACCAACATTGAACGTTGAGTCTGTTGAGGTTGTTTTTTTGGTGTTCGTTAAAGGGTATTGGAATGGTTCGTTGTGGACCTCCTCCATTACTTCCAGCACTTCCTTAATGGCAGCCCAGAGTTCTTTCCTCTCTGCTCTTTTCTGCTGTGCCTTGTTTACGGGTTTATTGTCGTCCCCTGACCCCTCGTCGTCATCTCATTATCGTGGCCTTTTGCATGCGAGTGTTTTATGGTCTCTGCTCTGATTTAATTAATTGAAGAATAATGTTCTCAACGAAATCAGAAACACAAATCATCCATACGAAGGCAAAACCCCAGAGAAAAAAACTCTGTAAAATGATGACAAAGACAAAAGTTGACTAAGAAATCTTTTTGTTCCGAGAGAGAGAGAAAGAGAGATACAGATGTGACATTGAGGGACAGAGAGAGAGAGATGTGGGGCGGGGGGATGCATTTATTTCTGAGAATTTTTCAAAAGTAAAACGTGGACTTTGTTTCCGTTTTTTATAAGGAAGTAGCATCCTGATGATGGTTCGTTGACTGCCAATCAGGTCGAGTTATACTCCTGCCAATGAAGGGTATAGCCAACGTTTTTTGGGAGGGAAAAAGTTCAACATAACCACAGTTTACCCCTGTAAGATGCCCACGACGAGATGCCAATCAACGCCTCGAACTGTCATTCAAAAAGGAAATCATCTAAGCCTTTTGGGATAGCCTTCGCCTCAGCGCTCAGTCGGTCCCCAGAAGCCGAAAACCTGCACAAAAATCTATGGTAGAACATCTATGTAGAACACAACTTTTTCCAGGAAATGTCAAGGGCAGATATTTTCAAACACTAATTTGACATTAAAATCGGAGAGAAGGGAGAAAGAGAGATGAATATTTAGGTATTTTTAAGCCAAATTCAAGGGTAGAAACAAATGGAGAATTTATTTTGAGCAATGTCTGAGATCTACGCTCCGTATTCAGACACAATTCGTTTTAAGCAACGAATATATTTCCTATACTGTTTCCCCATAATAAACCTTCTACACCGCTCTCTCCGCCTCTCGATTGCAGAATGAGCCGCCAACATCAGCGGCACCATCAAACGCAGCAGCAGCAACAGCTGCAGCAGCAACAACAGCAACAGCAACAACAGCTGACGGTGCAACAGCAGCAGCAGCAGCAGCTGCTGATGGCCGAACATGCGGCGGCTGCCGAGGCCGCGGAGCTGTTCGATCTGCTCTGCGTGGCCACGACAATGCGACAGATCCTGGCCCTCCATCGGACCATGTGCGAGGCGGTGGGCCTGCGGCCGTCGCCCCTCAACGACTACTACCCGAAGCTGAAGGCCAAGGTGCGCTCGTGGAAGGCCGCGGCGCTGTGGAAGAAGTTTGACGCCCGGGCCGCCCATCGGGTGTACGGCAAGGGCACGGCCTGCGCGGGCACCCGCGTCCTGGTGATCGGGGCCGGACCGTGCGGCCTGCGGACGGCCATCGAGGCGCAGCTGCTGGGCGCCAAGGTTGTGGTGCTGGAGAAGCGCGACCGGATCAGCCGCAACAATGTGCTGCACCTGTGGCCCTTCGTGATCACGGATCTGCGGAATCTCGGGGCCAAGAAGTTCTACGGCAAGTTCTGTGCGGGGTCCATCGACCACATCTCCATACGGCAGCTGCAGTGCATGCTGCTGAAGGTGGCCCTGCTGCTGGGCGTCGAGATCCACGAGGGCGTCAGCTTCGAGCACGCCCTGGAGCCCGGCGGCGATGCCGGCGGCTGGCGGGCGGCCGTGACGCCCGCCGACCATCCCGTGTCGCACTACGAGTTCGATGTCCTGATCGGGGCGGACGGCAAGCGCAACATGCTCGACTTTCGGCGGAAGGAGTTTCGCGGCAAGCTGGCCATCGCCATCACGGCCAATTTCGTCAACAAGAAGACGGAGGCGGAGGCCAAGGTGGAGGAGATCAGCGGCGTGGCCTTCATCTTCAACCAGGCCTTCTTCAAGGAGCTGTACGGCAAGACGGGCATCGATCTGGAGAACATCGTCTACTACAAGGACGAGACGCACTACTTTGTGATGACCGCCAAGAAGCACAGCCTGATCGACAAGGGCGTCATCATCGAGGACATGGCCGATCCCGCCGAGCTGCTCGCCGGCCCCAACGTCGACACCCAGAAGCTGCACGACTATGCCCGCGAGGCGGCCGAGTTCTCCACCCAATACCAGATGCCCAACCTGGAGTTTGCCGTCAATCATTACGGCAAACCGGACGTGGCCATGTTCGACTTCACGTCGATGTTCGCCGCCGAGATGTCCTGCCGCGTCATCGTCCGCAAGGGCTGCCGCCTGCTGCAGTGCCTGGTCGGCGACAGCCTCCTGGAGCCCTTCTGGCCCACCGGCTCGGGCTGTGCCCGCGGCTTCCTCTCCAGCATGGACGCCGCCTATGCCATCAAGCTCTGGTCGAATCCACAGAACAGCACCTTGGGGGTGCTGGCGCAGCGCGAGAGCATCTACCGGCTGCTCAATCAGACCACCCCGGACACGCTGCAGCGGGACATTAGCGCCTACACCGTGGATCCGGCCACTCGCTATCCGAACCTCAATCGGGAGTCGGTCAACAGTTGGCAGGTCAAGCATCTGATCGACACCGATGACCCGTCGGTGCTGGAGCAGACCTTCATGGACACACAGCATGCCGGGCCGCATGTGGAGACGCCTGGCAGGCGGAAGCGACGCAGCGGTGGTAAGTCCTGGGACGGGGACACCCTTGAGCACCTTCTAAGGCAAATAATCTTTCCATTCCGCACAGATTCGATGCCCCAGGGCGCTTCTCTGCTCCGATGGATCGCTGCCCAGCTGCATTCGCATCAATTTGTGCCTGAGCTCAAGGAGCCATCCGATGTTCTACGCAATGGCCGTGTCCTCTGCGGCCTAATCAGTCGGTAAGCTCTTCTTCGAAGGGTACTCCTTCCACCACTAATCCTTTGCTTTCTGTGTTAGATATCGCCCCGATCTAATCGAATTCGCTGTCACCAAGGACATGAGTCCCTTGGAGTGCAACGAGCTGGCCTTTGCCGTCCTGGAGCGAGAGCTGGGCGTTAAGCGGATCATGAGTGCCAAGCAATCGCTCGAGCTGACGGACATCGAGTCTAGGATCTGGCTCAACTATCTGGATCAGATCTGTGAGCTGTTCCGCGGCGAGATACCGCACATCAAGCATCCGAAGATGGACTTTAGCGATCTGCGGCAAAAGTACCGCATCAATCACACGCATGCCCCGCCGGACTTCTCCAAGCTGCTGCAGATGAAGCCCAAGGCCAAGTCGCCCATGCAGGATGCCGTCGATGTGCCCACCACGGTCCAGCGACGCTCGGTGCTCGAGGAGGAGCGGGCCAAGCGGCAGCGGCGCCACGAACAGCTGTTGAACAGCGGCGGCGCAGGGACAGGCACTGCCGGAGCAGCCGGAGGAGGAGCTGCCGTCGGCGGCGCCACTGCAGGAGGAGGCAATCTCCACCACGTGGGTGTGTTGATAACCATTATACATCGTGATCTCACAGACAAATAATGATCTCAGAGTGAGCTGCTGTATTATGCTGCTGCTTTTTTTGTAATAAAATTCGATTATAAAGTGGTGTATCTGCCCCTCTGGTTCATTATTTTCTACATACCCCGATTCTCCCGGCTCTATATCATCCCCCCTCTCTCTTGCAGGGCAAAATGATACGCCCCGTCGTTCGAAGAAGCGTCGCCAGACGTCCGACAAAACGGCCAATATTGTGAGTAGATGCTGGAGATTAATTAAATCATGGATTGGTTGGGTAGAGAATGTACAATCTGGTTGAAAAGTGACTGGGGAAATGGTCACTTTTCGGCCAGATTTACAAGATATTTTCATATACATATATATCAAAGATTGATTTGTAAAACATTCCATACAAATTGTAACATAAATAATCATATCCATTGAAAACTGAAACATAAACCAACAAGAGAATAATCTGTTCCCAAAGGTTCAGCTAATACTGAGAACAGCTCTCTGTCATGAACTCTCGACCGCCATAAGTGCATTCGAATCATCCATCAATGAGGTCAGTTCGATCAGTGTCCAAGTGGTGTCCAGTCCGCCCCTCCACCTCTATGTAACACCCCACCCCTCCCCACCCCCTAGTAGCTCTTAGTCTTAGTCTCTACCGTTTTGTGTCTGTTTCATGCAATCAATCACACACCACACACACACACATACCCCGTTCCGTATCCGTATCCTCAACGTACCCTGAATCCGGCTCTGAATCCGATTCTATATGTCTATATGACGCGCAGGAGGAGCGCCAGCAGCGCCTGCAAGACATCGAAGAGAACCGACAGGAGCGGATGAGCAAGCGACGGCAGCAGCGCTACCATCAGACGCAGAACTTCTACAAGAGCCTGCAGCTGCTGCAGGCCGGCAAGCTGCTGAGGGAGGGCGAGGATGGTGTCGCCGAGGACGGCAGCCCCTTCGAGGACTACTCGATATTCCTCTACAGGCAGCAGGCGCCCATTTTCAATGATCGCGTCAAGGATCTCGAACGGAAGCTACTGTTCCCCGTAAGCCGGTGCTCCTGCTCTCCCGCTCTCCTGCTGCACGCCGCCTGATCTCTTTTCGTCTCTCGATATAGAAGAGAAAACTAACCGCTTCCCCGTTAACTTTTCGCCCAAAATACGTGACTACCAGCAAAAGGTTGTTTTTCAACTGATTTAAATGTGGTTCGGCGATCCCTGGGGGATCCTGTCTAAGAGAATGCTGCGCTGCGCTCCGCTCTAATATTTGTTGTTTTTTAACCTACACTCAGAGAAAATTGCACTGAAAATTAAATATTTGCAAGTAGATTTTTTAAATGAATGCCAAAATTGGATCCAAGAGTGGAAATCATAAAAAGAAATTGTTTTCACTTACATTCCTACATTAATATGAAAATAATTGATTGAAATAAATTTTTTTTATATTTTAATTAAATATATTTCATGTTTAAATTAAATATATTTGATATTTTTTATTAAATATTGTTAGACAAATATATTTCATATTTAAATGAAATATATTACAGATTTAAATTAAATATATTTTATATTTAAATTAAATATATGTTATATTTTCATTAAATATATTTCACGTTTAAATTAAATTTTTAAATATATTTAATTTCAATTAAAGGGATATTTTAAAAACCCGAAAGAAAATAATTAATTGAATTATATTTTATATTTAAAATAAATATATTAAATTTATATGAAAGAGAAATTTCAAAAAAAACGAGAAAGGAAATTGTAAAATTAATTATTTTCCACTACTTTCTGGCATTAATATGAAAATAATCGATTGAAATATTTTTATATTTTAATTAAAATTTATTTCATGTTTAAATGTAATAATATAAAATATTTAATTTAAAGTGTTACGTATTTAAATTAAATATAAAAAGACTTTGGAATACATTTGTGCTTAAATCTATAAATGTTCATTAATTTCCTATTTAAAAAACCGAATATTTAATTTAAATATAAGAGGCATTCCTTTTTACTAAGCCATTTTTCTCTGAGTGTAGGACTATCCTGCCAGATGCTCGTACTAATTGTAGTCCCTAGGCTAGGCTAAGTCTCTAACTAGTGTTAAACCGAGAGAAAATAGTTTTCGTTTTGAGTTTTGATGATCGTTTTGTTGTTGTTTGTTTTTGGTTCCGTTCTTTGGTTCTTTTGTTCTGCCGACCTTAAATATCTATATATCTAAACCATTTTGATTTCTCCAACCCACTCCCGAACCGATCCTAATACTCCCCCCACCCTCTCCCAAAAAAACCAAAAAGGATCGCGAACGCGGGGACATACCCTCGGCCCTGCCGCGCAGCGCTGCCGATGAACAATTCAGCGATCGGATCAAGAGCATGGAGCAACGTATGACGGGACGCGGCGGCCTGGGCGGCGACAAGAAGCCCAAGGATCTGATGCGGGCCATCGGCAAGATCGACTCGACCGACTGGAATGTGCGCGAGATCGAAAAGAAGATCGAACTGTCCAAGAAGACGGAGATCCACGGGCCCAAGGGCCGCGAGAAGGTGCCCAAGTGGAGCAAGGAGCAGTTCCAGGCCCGCCAGCACAAGATGTCCAAGCCGCAGCGCCAGGACTCGCGCGAGGCCGAAAAGTTCAAGGAGATCGATCAGACAATCAAGAACCTGGACAAACAGCTGAAGGAGGGCCACAATCTGGACGTGGGCGAGCGGGGACGCAACAAGGTGGCCTCCATAGCTGGCCAATTCGTGCGCAAGGACGATGCCAATTCGGACGAGGCCACCACCACCGTCCTCCAGTCCAATACAGTCATACCCAAATCTGTGAGTAGTTTACCGTGTTTTCCCTCTTCGGTTTTCCCCACTCTTTCTTCTTTTTTGTTTGATTTTTCTTTGATTTTTGTGGCTTTTTTGTGGTTCTGTGCTGCTGCAGTTGTTTTAGTGGTTGTAGGGGATGATCCCCAATGCCTCCAGTAACCCCAGTAATCCCATATCCTATGCCAAAGTCTAAACAATTACCAAGATGTGGCATGAGGCGCCAGGCAACGTACCAGTTTATGGTGTATATTGCGCCTCGCCAAAGACTGTGTATGTTGTTGTTGGATTCTGTGGACCGACTCCTCAAAAGAGGTGCCACATCTTGATCCCCTGTCCCCTATTCCTACTCCCATTCCTTTGTTGCTGTTTGTTGCTGCTGTTAGCTGTTAGGCGCTTCCACATCTCTCACCGACGACACACACACATGCCATGAGATACATTTAACATCCATCGCAAAGCAATGCAAAACTAACCTCAATGAATGTTTAACTGTTGATCTGTTGTCCTGTTTGTCCATGGATCACACCCCTTCTAATGCTCTCCTCCGTTCTTCCCCATAGAGCTCTAAGGTGGCGCTGGCCTTCAAGAAGCAGGCCGCCTCGGAGAAGTGCCGCTTCTGCAAGCAGACCGTCTACCTCATGGAGAAGACCACTGTGGAGGGTCTGGTGTTGCATCGCAATTGCCTCAAGTGCCATCACTGCCACACGAATCTGCGGCTGGGCGGCTATGCCTTCGATCGTGACGATCCCCAGGGCCGGTTCTACTGCACCCAGCACTTCCGGCTGCCGCCCAAGCCACTGCCGCAGCGCAGCAACAAGGCCAGAGTGAGTAACGCCGCCAAATGTCCGTCTCTAGAGTGCTTTGTTAATGTTTATCCTTGGCAGAAATCCGCTGCTGCTGCTGCTGTCCAGGCTGCTGCCTCGCCTGCGGCCCGAGCTGCTGCAACAGTGGAACGAATGGACACCAACCAGGAGGAGATGGATCAGGCAGCGGCCAGGGACCAAGTGGACTTGCTGGAGACGACAATCCCCGCGGATGCCTTGTCCGACGACGAGGCCAATGTGATCGATGAGCACGAGTGGTCGGGCCGCAATTTCCTGCCCGAATCGAACAACGATTCACAGTCGGAGCTGTCCAGCTCGGACGAATCGGACACGGAGTCCGATTCGGAGATATTCGAGGAGGCGGACGACTCGCCATTCGGGGCACAGACCCTCCAGCTGGCCTCCGACTGGATTGGCAAGCAGTACTGCGGCGAAAGCGACGATACGACGGACTCTTACGACTCCAGTGATGGTATTGCGGGTACGCAAGAGGCGAGGTTGCTGCCTGGAGGATGCCTAACGTTTTGCATCTGTGTGTGTGTGTTTCAGATGATGGCAAGGACGACACCGAGGGCGAGGACTTCAAGAAGGCCCGAGAGCTGCGACGCGAGGAGGTACGCCTGCAGCCGCTGCCCGCCAATCTGCCCACGGACACGGAGACCGAGGTGAGGCCCCTACACGCCGCTGTGGCCATTGGTTGTGGGAAGAGACTAACCTGTTGATCATTATTCTCATTTATTTTCCACGTACTCTGACTCTTAATCCCTGACCCTGCCCCCTGACCCCTGCCCCTGACCCCCTGTTGTGGTGTTGGTTTCTATTTTTTCCCCCCTTAAACCATAAGAAGCTTAAGCTTAGTGTTGAAAATGATAAGGAGAACGTGGAGAGGGGATCCCTGCGTTCGGCCAACTCCTTCGAGTCGGCGCGCAGTCAACCGGCCACGCCCACGCGCGTGGAGATGGAGCAGCTGGAGCGGAATGCGCCGCGCAAGTTCAGCAGCGAGATCGAGGCGATAAGCGAGAAGCTCTACCACATGACCAACATGGTCAAAATGAACAAGGATCTCGAGCTGCTGGCCAAGGAGAACCTGGTCAAGAGCGACATCCTGCGCAAGCTGACGCTCAAGGAGAAATGGCTGGCCGAGAATGCGGCCATAGCCGCAGGAATGGCCAAAGGCAGTGCTGCTCCAGCTGCTGCTCCTCCACCGAAGCCCAAGTCCAAGTTTGAGGAAAAATACGAGAAGGTGCAGTCGCTGGGTGCTGACGAGGCGAAGCCCAAGCCCAAACCCGTCATCGATTTCAATCTGGATGAGCTGAGGCCACGGAAGCCGAACTTTGAGGAGCGGCCCAAGGAGCTGCTGCAGAAGCCCGCGGCGAAGGGCCTGAAGAGTCCCAGGGGCAGTGCCAATGTAAGTCGCTCCAACAGCCTCAAGAGCAATGCCAGCACGCAAGGCAGTCCTCGGGTAAAGAAGAAGGACGACACCCACGACAGTAAAATGCACATTGAGGGGATTCTGGGAACGATCAAGAAACTGCAGCGACAGCAGAGCAAAGACCAGAACCAGCTCCAAGACGACGAGGATATGGACGTGGATGCGGACGCGGAAGAGCTGCAGGGAAGCAAAGAGCTGAACAGCAAGCTGAAGGAGATCCAGGCCACCAGCTTTGCCGGCACAATGGATCACATTCGATCGCAGTTGACGATGCCCACTGTGAGCGCCCAGGCAGATCCGGCCTCGGTGGATCTGTCCAAGTACTTTCCCAACCAGAAGCTGGAGAAGAGCGCCGCCCTCAACACGAACAAGAACCAGAAGACCCTCAAGGATGTGGATCTGGCCAAGTACTTTCCCAGCAGTCCGGCCCCGCAGCGCAGAACCGTCGAGACGGTGGCCGATCGACTGAAGAAGTCGCAGACAGAGGCCTCGCTGGCCAAGAGCCAGACCCCGCCCAAACCGGTGGACGAGGCCAAGGAAAAGGAAAAGCCAGTGCCGCCCAAAAGGCAGGCCTCGCTGAACACTTTCAGCTTGCGGGAGCATCAGATGGACGGGGCCCTGGATCTGACCAAGAAGAAGGCGACGCCCGTGAAGGTGGTCAAAGGCACAGCCACCGCTACAGCCACAGGGAAGGGCAAGATCAAGATTATAAAGAAAATTGTGCCCAAGGGAACGAAGGCCAAGAAGGCGGCTGCCGCCCAAGAGGCAGCCGCAGCCGCAGCCAAGGCCAAAGAGGTCGAGAAACAGCCGCCAAAGGACGAAGCCGAACGTATTTTGGATGAGATATTGGGCGATGGGGAGGTACACTCGCCCAGCAGCGAATACCAGCGGCTCTTCCAAGACGAAAAGTCGCCCAGCGATCTGTCGGACAACATTGATCGCATACTCGAGGAGTCGGGCCTGGACCTTGAGCTGGGACTGCCGCGTCGCAGCAGCAAGAAGCTGCTCAAGACCAAGTCCTTGGGCGAAGGCGACTTTGAGCTGAAGCCCGGCGCCAGGGGAGAGCTCTCTGGCGTGCAGAACATCCTCAAGCGCTTCGAATCGATGAGTTCGGTGGCCTCGTCCACGCAGAACAGCGACGAGCAGGCGGCCGCCTTCAAGCTACGCCGCATGGAGTCGAGCACCAGCAATCTGAGCAGCCTGACCCGCTCCCGGGAGTCGCTCGCCTCCCTGGCCAGCGACTCGATGAGCGATCTGGAGCGGACCATGGACTATCTGCGCAACGAGTGGCGCAACGAGGCCACCAATTTCCTGCAGAAGAAGCGGGACAAGTTCTATGCCCAGAAGGAGGTCGAGCAGCAGCAGCAGCAGAAGCGAGCCGCCGAGGAGAAGGCCCTCGGTGATCTGCCCGTGCAGTATCGCGACTCCAAGCTGGCCAAGTTCTTTGGCCTGGGCTCCCGAAAGTCGCCCGAGAAGCGCAGGTCCCCCACCAAGAAGACGACGACCACAAAGAAGAAGTCGCCCAGCCCCAAGAAGTCCCCGAAGGTGGCCGCGAAAGCCAATAGTTCGCTGGAGGAGCTGGCTAAGATTGGGAGTGCACGGCAGGCCAAGCAACAGGCAGCCAAGAAGTCGTCGCAGAAAGCCATGCCCCCGAAGGTCCCGCCGAAGCCGGCGACCCCTGTGCCGGACGATTTTGAGGTGCTGGATCTGCTGGAGAAGGCCACAGAGGCCAAGGAAATGGTGGAACGCTCCAAGACAAAGAGTCCAACCGTCAAAGAGGAGCCCCAAGAGGTATTCGTGGTACCCATTGAGGACATCAAGAATCTGCCCAAGACGGGATGCGACAAGTCCCTCAATAGCTCGCGTCGCGGCTCTCAGTCGAGTCTGGTGTTGTCCCGACGCCAGTCATTGGATATATCCCTGACGGAGAAGCTACATCAAGATGCTTTGGAGGCACTTGCCAGCATGGAAAAGGAACAGGAGCAGACCCAGGAGGTCCAGCACTTTGAGGAACTCTTCCAGGACATGAGCTCGGAGGCGGATCCCAACGATGAGGACCTGGATGCCGATTCCCTGTGCACCACGATCAGCAAGAGTCCCAGCGCCCAGCCCGTGACGGTGGTGAAGCGCGGCAGCTCCGAGGACCAGAGCATCGAGAAGCTCTTTGGTCAGTTTTCGGACGAGATGCTGGTCCACGTGGAGTTCGACTCGAACGACGAGCTGGTGGGCATCACACCCACAGTGGCCGTAGTCCCAGCCAGCCCCTCGGAGGAACGGGATTGCTTGGACAAGCTGGAGTCCCTGGAGCGGGATGAGGAGCCAACGCTGGAGCTGAACAGATTCCAGACAGATGATACGGTCCACCCCGATGTGGTCGACGGCAGCCATTTCCCAACGCGACCGCAGCGCCGAGCCAAGAGCAGCTCCTCCTCCAGTGAACCATCGCTGTCGGCAGCCCCCCAGCGGCTGCTCGCGAAGCTAGATCCCGAGGATATGGCGCCCTCGGTGCAGGATTTGCTGCAGCAGGTGTATGCGAAGCCCCAGGACTCGGAGGAGCAGGGGAAACCATTGAGATTCCCCAGTCTGGTGATCGATGAAGATCTAGTGGACTCTGCAGGGGAACAGAAAGAAGTAGAGATGGAAGTGGAGCCTCCAGTCGCTGCTCAGGCAGTCGGCAAACCTCAGAGCACCAGCTCTTCCCGCAGCAGCCTCCTCGAAGTGGCGCCCAAAGCGTCCAAGGTGCCGTCTCGCAAGGAGAGCAAGGAGAACTCCCTCGACTGGGACATGGAAAGGCTGCCAGCCTCGCCCATGCCCCGTCGTCGGCTGCCGCAGAATCAGGCAGCGGCCAGCAAGGAGAGCTCCCTGGAGTGGGACATGGAGAAGCTGCCCAACAGTCCCATGCCGCCACGACGCAACAAAGTACGCCAGCCCTCGCCCAGCAGCTCCGTCCAACTACTCAACAATCTGCCCTCTGATGGGGACGAGGAGGTGGCCCAGCGAAGGCTCATCGAGGACTTTGAGCGGGAGCGTCGCCAGGCCTTGATCAGGCGCGACGAGAGCTTCGAGGCGACGGCCGCCGAGCAGCGCAGACGCGACTCCCTCCAGAGCAGCAACAGCAACAGCAATTCCAGCAGCAAGCGGAGCCTGCCGCCACCCACGCCTCCCGTCCAGAGGAGCAGCCTGGCCCGGCGGGGGGACACGGCCCGGACGGAGACCAAGCACGAGGGCACGCCGCCCATGTTCAAAAAGTTGGAGCTGGACAGCGACAGCTGCTCGCTGGCAACGCCGCTGGACTCCACGACCACCTGCTCGACGCGACGCAGCTCGTTTGCATTTATAGAGTTACAGGACAACAAGCCGGTGATCGTGCCGATGCCCAGGAAGCTGAAGCTGCCAAAGCTGGAGCAGCCTAGGTTCGTGCCCGAGCCGGTGGCCGTGGACGAGCCCGTGCCGGAAGTGTTCCAGGGCCGGGCCTGGCCCAAGGTGCAGATCGAGGGAGTGCCCGCCAGTCTGGACAGCGATCCCGAGGAGGAAGAGGCGGAGAAGCTGCTGCCCGAGTACGCCCGCTCCGACTCGCCCCCAGCGGCGGCCTTCAAGAACCGCAAGTGGCCCGATGGCAAGACGATCTTTGACCAGAATCAGGCAGCCCTGCAGCCAGACGAGGAAGATGATGATGAGGCTATAATGAGCCGATACTTGGAGGCCAGGCGTCGGGTGTCCAAGCACAAGCCGCGCTCCCAGTCGCCGCAGCCCTTCAAGCCGCTCGCCGTCAGCTCCAGGCAGAGCTCCAAGTCGTACAGTGACCTCAAGAAGGGCCCATCCCTGCAGTCGCTGCAGTCGGCCCGCTCCAGCCAGGACACGGACACGACGCACTCCACGGCCACGACAGTGGCCACGACGCGGCCCGTCAGTTCCTACGTGAACTACGACGAGCCGGTGGACGCCAGCACGCGGGCCCTGCTCGATCGCAGCAAGCGGCTGCACAACCGCAAGCGGGAGTTCGTCAACGAGCGGGTGGTGGAGCGGAATCCCTACATGCGGGAGGTCATACGCAGCACGGACCTGCACCGGGCCGGATCGGATGAGGATCTGGCCAGCTACAGGCCGCGTCACTACGCCAGCACCAGTCGCTTCCCCAGCACCGCGATGCGCAGCAATTACTCAGACTACCTCAGTCCCAGCGGCGGCACCAGCACCGGCGACTACCTCAGCGGCCACAAGAGACCCTACTCAACGCTGGGCCTCACCACGGCCAGCAGCTACTACCCCAGCACATCTGTGTCCACATCTACCACGGCCACACCGCGCAGCTCCCATTTGAGTGATCTTTTCAAGCCTCGACGACACAGTCCCGCCTCCAGCTATGGACGCAGCAGCGATTATGGCCTCCTGCCCGTCAGCAAAGAGTCGTGCGTTATTTCCTAAAGCAAAAATCCCACAAATCATTGACCAAAGCAATTTTCTTTTTACATATATCTATATTTAACCCGTTATAATGCCCAGACGACGCCTCAACTACTATCTCTACTGAGGGCAAGCCCAAGCCCCAGCCTCAGCCTCAGCCCCAGCCCCAGAAACCAACCAACCACCCAACCACCCAACCACTAGACACAGATTACACGTATAGGTCCACAAAAAAAAACCACCAAAAACCAACCCGCCTGCCTGCCCGCCTGCCACTCGATGTGTGCCCCCCACAACAACAAAAAAAAACCAAAGAATGCGGGGCACGTGTGTGCCGCCCGGGGTTCTCTACCACCTTTTGTTTAGCCTCCAAGCCTCCACATATGAAAAAAGTATAATGCACTGTCCGGGTACGATCTATGAAGGTAAATTCAAGCAATCCACAAAATTGTACACGAAAATGTTGCGCCTAACCCACGAGCAGCCACACAGACGTTTCGTTTCGTAGTCTCTAAAACCACACATAAAATAGAAATACAAATATAAATATAAATACAATCTACACCGAGCTTCCGTTGAGGCCAAGCGATTGATCCACCCGTTTTGTCGTCGTGTGTCTGTCCATCCAATGCCTAACCCCCAAAGCCTTTACGCTCCACTCTGCTGCAGGGACCGTAATCAATAGAAAGACATATTGTTCTGAATATCACACTATACAAACCAGTTTTAAGTTTTAAGGATATATTTTTTGGTGCTAGTAATTATTTTTTAGCAAAAAAAAACATAACTACAAAATTTCTCTAATTTAAATAATGAAGAGCTCATATAGAGCTGAGAAAAAATGTATAAGAATGTATGTGGAATGTTAGTTATAATAATTTTGATTGATATTGGTTGTAACCAAGGTCTACAATATTTCTGGGTTGATTTTAAACAATAATATCCTCATTAATTGAAAGCGTACACTCACAATCGTCGGCTGCCTCATGATGAAATTATGTGCTCCCGCAAGGCACTCTCTTTTGGGGTCTTATTTTGCTCATAGCGACAGGAAACTTCGTTCTCTCTCGCTTCCGGACCACCTTGCATTATTTCATCAGGGGTTGGCTCTTCCTGATGACCGATCTCGCGCTCTCGTGATCCGTTATCTCGCTTTCGGGGTGGGGAACGCGAGCGTACAGGCAGTCCAGCCTCCCTTCAAATAGGGGTATTCTCCAATACCTTAGCTAAACCCAATAAAAAAAGTATTCTTGTCGACATATCTGGGGGGTTTATGCTGAAAAAGTGTATTTCACAAAATTTACATAAAAGAAAAATACTGAGTTATTTTTTAGAGATTGATTTATTTTTTGCTTAAAATACTGGTATTTTTATAAAAATAATTATTATCACCAAAAAATATCCTTAAAACTTAAAACTTATTTTTTAAACAAATAATCAATAAAACTGGAATTAAAAAATATTCCGGGATATGCATCCTTAGAGTAGGAATATTTAATATTGCTGTGGATGATTATTTCGGCTACAAAAATAAACAATACAAAGTAATAATCACTTGTTACGGTCCCTGCTGTACTCTGACTCTGACTCTACTACCAAATCTGACCAATCTCTGAAGATCTAATCCAAATGTTGCTGTTTCCTGTTGCTGTTTCTGTTTCTGTTCCGTTTTTGTACCTTTATGGATCGTACCTAAAGGCATGATAATGATGCTGCTGCTGCTGATTAACCCCTTTGATTAAATATAAACTCTGACTAACGCATGTTCAACAGCCTTTCGGCCAGCTGTAATAATGCCCCTCGCTGCGGAGTGTTTTTTATCGTTTATTGTTTATCGTTTATCGCTTGTCTCAGATCCTTGGCCCCTTGCCACGCAGTAAATTAATCCGTATTGATGCCCTAACTCTTGCAGGTACAAACCGAATCCGAGAGCACGTCCCCCGACGAGATTGAGCTCAATTCTGCCACTGAAATATCCACCGATTCCGAGTTCGATAACGATGAGATCACACGCCAGACGGCGCCCAAAATCTTTATCGATGACACCCATCTAAGAAAGCCCACAAAAGTCCAGGTAAGAGGAATGCTTTCATCTCTCAAGCTACAGACTTAATCGATTTCCTTTCCGTAGATCAAGTCCACCATGATCACACCCAATGCTGCTGCTGCTGGCGTGGCCTCCACCGGATTGCATGAGAAACAACTGGCGGCCCGCGAGAAGGGCGGCAGCTATCTGAAGAAATACCAGCCCCAACCGCCGCTGCCGCAGTTCAAGCCCCTGGTCCAAGTGGATCCCACACTGCTGATCGGCAGTCAGCGGGCTGCTGCCACACCGCTCCAAAATCCCCGTCCCGGCGACTATCTGCTGAACAAAACGGCCAGCACCGAGGGCATTGCCTCGAAGAAGAGCCTCGAGCTGAAGAAGCGCTACCTGCTGGGCGAGCCGGCCAATGGCAATAAGATCCAGAAGTCCGGCTCCACCTCGGTGCTGGACTCGCGCATCCGCAGCTTCCAGTCGAACATATCCGAGTGCCAGAAGCTGTTGAATCCCAGCAGCGACATCAGCGCCGGAATGAAGAGCTTCCTGGACCGCACCAAGCTGGGCGAGGGCCAGGCCAATGATCTGATGCGTTCGGCCACCAGCAATGTGATCAACGATCTGCGAGTGGAGCTCAAGATACAGAAGGCGCCGTCGCCGTCCAGCAACTCCACGGACAATGAAAAGGAGAATGTCTTTGTCAACTGCAAGAACGAGCTGAACAAGGGCATGGAGTACACGGATGCCGTGAATGCCACGCTCTTGGACCAGCTCAATCGCAAGAGCTCCCCCACCACGCCCACGAACAACCAAAACAACAAGACTGTGATCGAGGTGATTGATCTAGTGACGCCCGAGAAGAAGCCACTGGAGATTATTGATCTGACGCTGGAGACACCAAAGAAACCGAAGATCGAAGGCCCCGACAGCAACAAGCTGAGCGAGAAGCAGCTGCAGCAGGAGGAGAAGCAGGAGCAGAAGCTGGAGGAGGATGTGGCCAAACCCGATGTCTCCAAGGATGTAAAAGAGTGCATACCCGACATACTGGGCGACATAAAGGCCGGCGTCAAGCAGGGAACGAAGGCAACGGGCACAGAAGAGCAGCAAAGCCTGCTGTCGGATGAGGAGAAGCGGGACTCCCCCGAGAAGGAGGAGCACGACGAGCAAGACACTGTCCAGATACAGGTGCCGAATATACCCTGGACCAAGCCGAAACTGGAGCCCATGTCGACAACCGGCAGCAGTGGCGGCACCAGCTGCTCCAGTTCGTCGAACACCTCCAGCATCGAGGACATACAGCACTACATACTGGAGTCGACCACGAGTCCCGACACCCAGACGGCGGGGGGCGGTGGTGGCAAGCATAACGTGCCGCGCCTCGAGGTGCACGACACGAGCGGCGCCCTGATGCAGGTCGACAGTCTGATGATTGTCAATGGCAAGTATATTGGCGATCCGGAGGATGTCAAGTATTTGGACATGCCCGCCGATGTGATTGTGCCGCCAGCAGCGGCCTTGCGCACCAACGAACTGGAGGAGCCAGAGGATGATCACGATGTGGATGTGGAGCCGGTGACGGCCACGCCAGAGCCAGCCGAGTGCACAGTCATCGAGGCAGAGCGCCTCAGCACGGTCAAGGCTCCTCCTCCGCTGCCTGAGATGGGACCACCGAAGCTCCGGTTCGATAGCAAAAACGAGAACAAAATCGAGAGTCTCAAGAACCTGCCGCTGATCGTGGAGCGCACGGCGGAGCACAGTCAGGCCGTGAAGCCGATCACCCTCAATCTGAGCAGTGCAGCAGCCAGGACTCCCGACACCCCGACCACGCCCACGGCCCATGACAGCGACAAGACGCCCACCGGGGAGATGCTGTCGCGGGGCTCCGACTCGGAGACAGAGCATACGGGCACGGGCACGGGTACGGGCCAGGTGCTGACGGAGACAGAGCTCTCCGACTGGACGGCCGACGACTGCATTTCGGAGAACTTTGTGGACATGGAATTCGTGCTCAATTCGAACAAGGGAACGATGAAGCGGCGCAAGGAGCGCAGGCGTGGGGGGGCCGCCTCGAGGCTGCCCAGCGGCAGCCAGGTTATCCATGAATTGGCGAGGCAGGCGCAGGCGCCGGTGGTGGAAATGGAGGGCATACTGAGTGCCATCGATATCGATGACATCGAGTTCATGGACACGGGCTCCGAGGGCTCCTGCGCCGAGGCCTATTCGGCCACGAACACGGCCCTGCTGCAGAATCGTGGCTACATGGAGTACATCGAGACGGAGCCGAAGAGAGTGCCGCTGAAGCCAAGCCAGGCCCAGCCTCCGCTCCCAGGCACTGGCTTTGTCGCCTTGCCGGCGCTTGTGACCAAGCGGGATGAGAAGCTGGGAATTGACTACATCGAGCAGGGGGCGTACATCATGCACGACGATGCCAAGACGCCGGTGAACGAGCAGCTGCCAGCCGCCATGACCCAATCCCTGACCGATTCGAGCACCTTGAACGATCTGGACGACGACAGCATGGCCGGCCAGACGATGCCGACTACAACGGAGGAGAGTGAGGCTCTCACGGTGGTCACCAGTCCGCTGGACACCTCCTCGCCGCGAATGCTCGATCAGTTTGCCAGCATGTTGGCCTCGGGCAAGGCCGACTCCACGCCCAGCAGCTCCGAGCAGCTGCCAAAGACGTCCACGGTGACGACCAGCAGCAGCAGCGCAGCCAACAGCTCGACACCGGGTGGCCATGAGTCCAAAGAAGCCGCCGCTGCCGCCGCCGCTCCCACGGATGAGGATCTGCAGATCCAGTTCGAGTACGTGCGAGCCCTGCAGCACCGGATCTCGCAGATAAGCACGCAGCGCCGCAAGAGCTCCAAGGGGGAGGCGGCTAGCACAACTGTGATAGAATCGGCCGAGGCCCAGCTTCAGGCCCAGCCCCAGCAGCCGCCAGACAGCCCGGAGACGTCAGCGATGCGTCCCAGAAGCAGCAGCAGCTCCAGCAAAGTTCCCGAGATACCGACGCTCAGCAGCAAGCTGGAGGAGATCACCAAAGAGCGCACCAAGCAGAAGGATCTCATCCACGACCTCGTCATGGACAAGCTGCAGTCGAAGAAGCAGCTCAATGCCGAGAAGCGACTGCACAGGAGCCGCCAGCGCAGCCTCCTCACCAGCGGCTATGCCAGCGGCGCCAGTCTGAGTCCCACGCCCAAGCTGGCGGCTGCCGCCAGCCCCCAGGACTCGAACTGCTCCAGTCAGGCGCACTACCATGCCTCCTCCGCCACTGCCGAGGAGAAGCCATCAATCGCAGCAATCGCCCCTCCCCCAGTCCCCAGCAATCCCTTGCAGAAATCGGCCACGGCCAGCTATGTCTCCCCTTACCGCACTGTCCAGCCGCCCACACGTAGCGCCGATCTCTTCAAGCCGCCGCGTCCCTTCAGCGAGCACATCGATGCGCATGCCCTCGAGGCCGGCTACAAGCTGAACAAGACGGCCTCCTTCAACAGCGGATCGGGAAGGGGGCTCGGCGATTTTGTGACCCCCATTGCGCCAGCACGTTCGAATCGCGGTGGCGGAGGAGTCGGCGCTGGAGTCGGAGTCGTTGCCTCCGTGGATGTAATGAATATATCTGTCTCAACGGAGAACCTGAGGAGCGAGGCCCGGGCCAGGGCGCGGCTCAAGTCGAACTCGGATCTCGGTCTGAGTCCAGAGGAAAAGTTGCAGCTGTTGCGTAAACGTCTCCACTATGACCATCCCAGGCCCCTCAAGCCCAAGCAGCAACTGGAGGAGCCTCTGTCCGTTGATCTGGCGGCTCGTGCCCGCAAAATGAGTGCCTCGAAGAGCGTCAACGATCTGGCGTACATGGTCAACAGCCAGCAGCAGCAGGTGGGCCACTCGGGCCTGGACAAAGATGCCGCGGCCCAGGCCAAGGCAGCGGACTTCACATCCGACCCGAATCTGGCGGCCAGCAGCGGCGTTCAGGAGAAGGCAATGAAGACAAAGACCGGCAGGCAAAAGGATCCCGAGCGACGTAAGAGTCTCATACAGTCGCTGTCCAGCTTCTTCCAGAAAGGCAGTCATTCGCATTCTGCATCTGCATCAGCGTCCGCGTCCGCATCCACCAGTCCCAAAGAGCAGGGCGTCCCTGTGGCTGCCAGCCACTCTGAACAGTCAGAGCGTCCCGGCACCAGCAGCAGTGGCACGCCCACCATCTCTGATGGAGGAGGTAACAGTGGCGGAGGCGGCGGCGTCTTCAGTCGCTTCCGTATCTCCCCAAAATCAAAGGAGAAGTCAAAGGTTAGTCTCATTTGTGGGAAAGTCTGTGGTTGTGGCCACCATCCTAGCCTTTAAGTTGTGTTTTACTGTCGGTGTACTGTACTGTGCGATAAGTGTTTCCATCTATAACATATCAAAAATCTTTCCATCATTTTACAGTCTTGCTTTGATCTGAGGAATTTCGGTTTTGGTGTAAGAACTTTTTCACTATTTCTACTCTGATTTCCAATCCTCACTAGAGCACCATCTTTCGGCTTATGGCATGCAATAAATGTATGCTAACTCGAATGTATCTAATTTTTACTGAATTATCATTCATTTTCTTTGGATATTTTATGTTTTCACTCTCATTGGGCCTTGGCTTTATTTGTTTTTTTTTTTCCTTTTTTTCTAGACTCTTATTTCAATTTGTTTTCATTTATTTTTATTTTCAATTTTCTTTTCATAAATCCTTTCCAGCTGAAAATATTTAAGTAAATTAAATAAATAGCTTTTAAGTTTGCTATCCTTTCTGTGTTTTTTCTTTACCCTATACTTTAGGCCTCTTTTAAATAACATTTATGTGGGCCTCTAATATCGTTTTATACTGATTACGTTTTCTGAGTGGAGAAAAAGGTTTATGGATCTTTCCGTCATGTGTTTATATATATACAGTGGCGCCGAAAAAAATAGCACCAGTAGGGACGACCGTCTTTACTCCTTCAAAACAAGACCACTGTCCAACATTTGCTGGACTTTACTGCAATATAATGTAGCTTTATATGTCTCCTCTCTGAGAGAAGTGTGCTTACTCTCTCAATTCTAACGGTTCTTATAACATTAGGCAATTTTGCGAAAGAGGAGCGAAATGGAGCACCAACAAAAATAGCACCAGTAACTGTTTTATGTAAAAGCTTCTACTTTTCGGAGCTTCTTGATATTTTAACTTCTTGACTGAATTAAAAATCGGTGGCTTTAGGTGATTGTGACAAGAAAGTTACAAAATTTAAGTAGTTATGGGTCTTGGAAAGCTCTAAAGTGAAGAAAAAAGCCAAAGGATCAAAACTTTCATTTCAGAAGGCAGGACCTATGCTAAGGTGGGGCAAATTGTCGGTTGTTCAAAAGAAATGATTAGCAATGCTTTTAAATATGTTTCCAACAAGAATCACTTGCAAGAAAGGCCGCGATATCCCCATTTCTGCTAAAACTACTGGTTCGTGAGAGCAAGGAGGACCTATTTAAGTCGGCCACAGAGCTAAAGCAAGGATCTTAAAAAATCGTCAAGTACCAGGAAAGTTAGATCTTGTTTACAAGAACGTAAAATGGGTACTCGTAGTACGAGGAAAATTTCACTTTTCACGGAAAGGCATGGGGCAAAAAAAGTTTGGTGTGCAAAATAGCACTAAAGTTGGGCCAAAGAAAATGGAGAAACATCCTGTGGTCCGACTAAAGCCAAAATTTATTTTTTGGTGTAAAAGGGTCGTGTTCTTGTGTGAAACAACTACCTTATGCATAATACAACCCCCTGACTCACATGTAAATTCATTAGACATAGAAAAGCAAGCAAAATCGTATGGGCATGATTTTCGTACTAAGTAGGTAATCCAATACATGGCACAACCCCATTATGGATCAACATGTCTATGTCAATATCAAAGAAACAGTGATTCTGCTTTATGCAGAATACGAAATAGAGTTGTTTTGTAACTTCCAGCAGGAAAATGACCCAAAACCATCTAGAAAGAGAGCTCGAAAGTGGTTCGAGCACAATTCACTTAGTGCAATAGATTGGCCTGTTCAGTCTCCAGACTTGAACCACATTGCTAATATTTTGGGTCAAGTTAAAAAATATGTTTCTAATGCGGAATCAAAGAACAATAAATATATTTGGGGTATCCTGCATGGTTCGTGGATCAATATCCCAAGGGAAAGATGCGAAAATTAGGTGAGCTTTAATGCCAATATGTTGAGCTGTTGTTGTTGCTGACCAAGGCTTTGCAACAAAATGCCAACCTTTAAATACAACTAAACTAACATATTTTACTAAAAAATGTGGAAAGTTTCCTTGTATTTTATAGTTTTTTAATTTCTTTGTAAATTGGTGCTATTTTTGTTGGTGCCCAAATTTCTGATAAAATCCTCTTCTTTTCAAATATTTTCATTTGGAGTTTGCGAATTATGCCAGTGCTCTGGGATACGATAAATTATACCTTAAAGTTTACATATTAGTCTTAACAACGTTCATTAGAACCATTGCTTAAGCAAAATCCGTCAATATAGACACATTAGTCCACTGGTGCTATTTTTTTCGGCGCAGCTGTATATATATTGTAATATTTTAAGTTATTTGTATGGCTATTTAAACGTAAGGAACACTTTGGAGTGGGGTTTTTAAAGTAGTTGTTTTGCTTTAAGTTCAATGTGCTGGATATTTTGCATGGATGGGATGGAATGGGCTGGGATGGAGTCCCCCAATGGTTACCAAATATTTGTTAAGTTTATTGTTACTCACCCTGGACACCCTGCATGTTTGTTATTATTATTATTTTCTAGTAAATAACAAAATTGTGTTTAATATGAGAACTGAAAATATTTTCTTTCCTGCCTCTGAAACACACACACACACATCTAAAACAACCATGCATACACTCTGTATATTCTGATACATTAAAATACATATATATTCAAATACAATGCCACATTAGGACAAGGATGTGCTCATCGGCCATGCCACAAGCAGCACAAATGCAGCAACAGCAGCAGCAGCCACTGCCACAAGATCACAGACAAATCACTCGCAAGATTATCTAAACACCACAACAACAACAGCCACAACAACAACAGCAACAAACAACAGTCGCTACCGAAAGCAAACGAACACTGCGAAACCGAAAATCGAAACGTTCTCATCATCCAGTCCGCAGCTCTACATACACAAGCCCCACCACCATCTGGCCGCAGCGAATGCCCTGGACGACCAGACACCGCCACCCATACCGCCATTGCCACTGAATTATCAAAGATCCGATGGTTTGTTGCCTCTCATTTTATGTGTCCCATCCCCTCTAACGATTCGTAACGTCTCAGTGTTTTTAAAGCATATGAACTGCTCGTGGTTGCGCGTTTAATGTTTGTCTAATATCCTTTTGTAGATGAGAGCTACGCTAACGAGACACGAGAGCATAAGAAGCAACGTGCCATATCGAAGGCTTCACGACAGGCTGAGCTCAAGCGACTGCGAATCGCTCAAGAAATACAGCGCGAACAGGAGGAGATTGAGGTGCAGCTAAAGGACTTGGAGGGACGCGGCGTACTCATCGAGAAGGCCCTAAGGGGCGAGGCGCAGAACTTTGAAAAGTGAGTGCAGCGGAAAATAATATTTTAATCGTATGATTAACATCTAAAACCCCATTTTCCGTGCAGCCTGGATACATCAAAGGATAACGATGAAAAACTACTTAAAGAACTATTGGAGATTTGGCGGAACATCACAGCACTCAAGTGAGCAAAACCATCGAGGGTTTTCTTAAATGGAATCGTTTGATTGTTTTATTTTGCTTGGCAGGAAACGCGATGAGGAACTGACTATAAGACAACAGGAACTGCAGCTGGAGTATCGGCATGCCCAGCTCAAGGAAGAGCTCAATCTGCGCCTGTCTTGCAACAGTACGTTACCGTTAAGCGAAATATGTGAGAATGCCAGATACATTTTAACGAACGAATTCAAACTTTCAGAACTAGACAAGAGCTCCGCCGATGTAGCCGCCGAGGGAGCAATACTCAATGAGATGCTGGAAATTGTGGCAAAACGCGCGGCACTCCGACCAACAGCCTCACAGCTAGACCTTACTGCAGCGGGTATTGCATCGACCTCAACCGAGGCGGCGGGCATAAAACTGACCGGCCAACCGCACGACCATGAAGAATCGAATGTGAGTGGTGCACTACATAAAAAATACACAACAAATTCAATTGTAATATTTCACATCTTTTAGATATGAAAAACAAACTTTCCCTGGAGTTTGGTGGCTGGGCAAAGGCAAGGACTTTTGAGCCGAATTACTTAATAAGAAACAAGAGAAAAACGTACCAAAAAGTCAGCTGAACATTTACACCTACAATTAAACCGATACTAAACCGCATACGATATAACGGGAAAAGAAACGAAACGAGCAAAAACCTATTCAGAGTGATCAAGCTGGCAGAGAAACAATTTCAATATACAATATACATACTATATTTACAATAAGTAGAAGGAGTAAAGAATTTCAGTGAAGAGAAGCGCGCAAGCTCAATGTAAAAACAAACAAAAAAATGAAGAGAACAAACAAAATCAAAACCAAAAATTAATTTTTGCAATTTTTTAACTTTTTTCGGAGAATATTTAACTTTTTTATGATATCCCAAGTGTATTTTTAGTTAGTTTTGCAGAAAATTCAAGTGAAATCTGTTTGATCTTTGTATATGTTGTGTTTATTATTATTTTTTTTTAATGTATCGAGTTGATTTCATTTTGAAACGTGAATATATGTGCAAAAGCTTTGTGATCCTGAGCAATTGTAAATGGTGTATTTGAGTTTTTGTAAGGTTATCATTATTTAGCAATGATTGTTCGTCTACTGTTTGTCTATTTCTGTGTATACTACTGTCTCAATGTATTATTATTTATTTGATGAAGCACCACAAACCACACGCATTATTCGACAGCATCCACATCCATGTATGTAATATGTCATTTGCTGCCCCCACAACCAGAAAGTGAACACAAAGATATACACACAAATATTTTCTATATATGCGAGAGAGAGCAGAGCGTACATTACATAGCGATATGATATGATGGAGGCAAGGCAAACAAACATTTACTGTATACTAATGAAAAATGATTTAAATTATTGTGTAATTTTATTTATAACCTGCATATATAAACATATTTATCGAATTTATTATGTAACTTTTCGATTTATTTTAAATTGAATAAAGATTTTATGAAACCTAATTTCACAAGCCATACTAAACGCCAACTGCAGAGTACGACGTGGTGTTCGAGTATATAAGAAGATAATGTTCTTACTTTTGTGATGCCCACATCCTCCACCTCAAGTTGAAATAAAGCTTTGGCATCCTATTCATACAAGTGTTGGGATATAGTTTCTATTAATCTATTCGAACAGGGAATGTCTGTGTTTCAAATTTCAGATCCTGTTGACATTTTTCATCTATCAGCTTAAAACAATGCAAATTGAGAATAAATGCCAAATAGTTGTGCGTGTTTCAAAGCATCTTCCTTAAAGGTGTGAAGGCTAAATTAAATGTAGAATATAGGATACCTAAGCGGGATCTTTCGCAGAATGCCCTTCAACTGGTGCATCGATGCACCGCCGCATTTCAACCTAGCAAAAATCTCGTACTTATTAAAGTCCGAATGAAAAAACAAAAAAATCTGGCAGGATATTCTAGTTAGAATATATGATAATATTCGAATTTGAATCCAGCATTATTCAACGGAACAATTACTCTTTTTCGCTCAAATTTTTTTTAGACAAAATCCAATAAAAGCAAGTATTTCAATTAAGCCAGTCAATTAGAAAATAGGTTTATTAATTGGATAAAATTATGTAGGCAGGACTGAAAGATCTATGTAGCTAGTAATGTTCCACGGAATATCAAAATCGAGAAATATGGTTTCCAATCCTTGACGGAGAACGATTAACCCATTCTAAGCCAAAGGGGTATTTTAATATTCCATCAACAATAATGAAAATTGATCAATATTGGCGCAGTTTAGGTAAAAGATATCGTGGTTTTTATTAAGTTAAGAGGAAGAATAGGATGGATCTACGAGAAGAACTTACATGCATTATTATTTTCCGTCATTTACCTCAAGTCGTTGAACAGTTTTAATAGAGGGGGCTTAAGAGGGCTAAGTTCGGTTGTTATCATACGAGACGCTATTGTTGTTGCGGAACTAAAATTGACGCTCTTCCCTGGAGATTTTGAGAGAATATGGCTGAGGAGCAGTTAAAAGAAGTGAATGCCAATCCCGCGTCGACATCCCCAGTGACCAACGAACCAGAGAAGACTCCAATGAAACCAAATCCGCCAGCACCGCTCTCGGCATCAGCTGCCGATGAAGGGCAGCAGACAGAAAAGGCGGTTCAGGCAGCGGCCTACAGCATGCGACCGGCTTTTGGGGAAATGTTTCCTCTGCCCATTGTCAAGAACATCATGAACAGCGTTATGACCGAGAAACTGAAAGGTGAGAATGGATAAATCAATCTCCTGAGCGTCCAACAAGCGTTGCTAAGCAACTGGTTCCGTTCCATTTTCAGACAAAACATACGACAAGGACGTGGCCAAGATATGGACGCTTGAGATTGCCGATGAAGTGAATCAGAAAATAGCCTCCAATCCCAAGGTGAGGCGCTACAAGCATGTGGTGCAGGTGATGCTTGGCCAGGAGCTCGGTGCCGGGGGTTTCTATAATTCGCGCTGCTGCTGGGACTGCGACTGTGATACCTCCGTCTCCGAGGTGTTCAGCAATACCAGTATATTTTGTGTGTGCACTGTCTTTGGCACCTATCAGTACTAAACGAGCACAAACGGCCAGCAAGGACGACGCACCAGAACTGATTAGGATAAGAGAAAAACCTTACTATATTTATTCTTAGCACAGTGAGCGGCAGCATATTATTTACATTTAAAACTAGTCGGTTCTTGCATATTAGTAGGCACCAGGAAACAAGGGAACAACGACCCAACTTCACTTTCGATACTCGACTCGACCTTCGTCTTGCATCATTGGATGCGCACATTCAATGGATTCAGTATGCGGCCCGACATTACAGCCACGTCCAGCTCTCGGTCGATGATGAAAAACAGAAACGGATGGTTCACAGAGATCTGAATGGGTTTCGTTTGAGCACCGTAGTTGCCTGAGAAGCAAAAAGGAAGTAGTTATTGCACCTTTGTCTATCTGCGCTACTGTTGGCGCAATCGCCATCGCAATGGTAATGCTGGAGTTGCAGTCTCAGTTTCAGGTGGGGCGATGGCGATGCGTTGCGCCTCAATGCCTCCGTTCAGGTGTGCTGCAACTGCAACTGCAGACACAAGTACAAGTACTTACGCTTTAGTTGATTGATGGGATGCGTACGAATGTTTACGTCTATGGATTGCTCAATGTGTCGCACATAGACGCCTTTCTCATCAGTCATGGGTCGAAAATCGGCGCGATTTGGCTCGAAGACATCACAGCTGTAACGAAAGAAAGTAAAAGTGCCAGCCAGTCTCAAGCAGCCCCAGCAATCAGCTTACATGCCCATCTGCAACACAACCAAAGCATAGATTAATCTCAATAAATGTACTTTTATATTAACTCTGTGCACTTACATTCTGCAGATCGTTGGTCAGGAACATGGTTCCGTGCAGCTTAAAGTCGGGTATGATGGCCTGAACCCACCGTGGCTTGAGCTGCTTGCGCATCAGGCGCAACGTGGGCCCGAGCTTCAGAGATGCCGCCGCAGCCACAATGTCCGTGTGGTAGTCAGGCAGTAAAATCATGAGATTGTACTCTGGCGTGTCCAGTTCCAGCTCCAGGACGCTCATCTTTAGATGCTCAAAGTACTTGAAGTACAGCACTGCATTGTACACCTTGAAGGTGGTGTGCACAATCTGGTGGATGCCCAGGTAGAACACATGACTAATGACATCCGTGTTGTAGTTGGATTTGCTCTCGGCGGCCCCGCTGATAAAGTGCGGCTCAAAGTCGTTGTTGATGGGCGCAAAGTGGGCGGCAGATGGTGGGTATTGAAACGGATGAGGCGCTGGATGTGGTCCTTGCGGGCTGAAGAGCGACAGAAAGAGATTCGCATCGAGTTCCCTGTATGGCAGAGCGTGTCGCTTGTACCGAGACATCTTGGACTTCCTCGCGTACGAACCATTTGCCGACGGGGGAGCTGAAATGGAAATGATCTGCCTAGTGTTTGACGCCTTTCTCTCTGACACCTGTCGGGCCATCATGGGCATGGTCTCTGTCCGCGCACTCGGCAGATAGATGGGCTTCGGCGTGATCGGATTGGAGTGCTTGAGCGGTGCCTGCAGCTTGCTGGTGGGCAGTCGGGAGACTCGAGCCTTTTGAATGCGCAGCAGTGGCTCGGCCTCCTCCTCGGCCACGAAGGCGGACACCAGCTCAGCTGCCTCATCCTCTCCAGCCGGCTCTGCCGCCTCCTCGCCGGATGACTCTGGGGGTGGTGCCTCGGTGCTCGTTTCAGGCGGCGCTTCTGTTGTTGTCGTTGGCTCCTCTGTGGTCGTCGTGGCAGGCACCTCAGTGGTACTTTCTACCTCCTTAACCGTTGTGGTGGCGATGGTCTCAGCTTCAAAATCCTCAGTTGTGGCATTTGCGGGTGTGGTCGTGCTTACCATCTCAGCATCCGCCGTAATATTTGCTGGCGTTGAGGACACCATATCCACACTCAGATCGTAGCCGTAGAACATGAGCACTGTCTCGAAGTCCTTCAAGACAGTCACATTGTTCTTGTTCATGCTGAGGCCCTTCAGGGGATTGTCGGAGCCAAAGAAATAGGTCTGGGAAGAGATCAAAGTAATATTATAAACTTTATGCTCTATTTCGGGTTTATTTCAATCCCACTTGATAAGTGGAACAAATCCTATCCAAGCCCACCACCCGATCCGCATAATTGCTGCCAATTAAACACTCTATTCACTTGGACAATTGCTGGTCAGTTATTGGAGGTCAACGCACTATTGAAACCCGATAACAGATCGCTTGAGAGGTGGTCATAGGCAATTGGCCTAGGGCAGTTTGTTTGGAACCATTCTTTTTTTGCTTTTTGTTTTATTTCAATTTTTGTTGTTGTTTATCAATGACCACTTCACATTCCGCTCTGCTCTGCTCTGCTGTCGGCTATGTGTGCTTAGCCAGCCATGTAAATGAGCGGAGGCATTTTATTTGGATAGTTTGAGCGGGGGCTCAAGCCGCCACTTTGGGCTGTAGGTTAAGTTCAACGCTGAGTCGAATAGAACCATAAATGGGCCACTAGACCACCAGTTGTCTCACCCGTAGTCGTCGATGGATGTCGCGGTATCCGACGCGAATGACATCACGATTGTTAGGCAACTGCAGGACGTTGCGCAGCTCGTTGGCACTGTTGCTGGAGGATCCCTCGTACAGGGCCACCAGGACACTGACCAGGGCAGTCGGCGAGAAGGCAAAATTGTTGCGATTCAGTATGGAGTGGTAGTGGAGCAGGCGGTGGGTGAGGTCATTCGTCAGATCGACCATCACCTCCGCCGGGGTCAGCTCCTTGGCGGCCAGCACCTGTGGCAAGTGATCGAGTGGGGTCATCGGTGGGGGCGGGAAATGCGGATGCGGAAAGCCGCTGGCCCGAAACTCTTCCTGATCGATTTGTATGTAGTGGGCGAGGATGTGGGCCTGCGCCAGGTAGACACCCAGCCAGATTGCCAGCGAGAATCGAGGCATAACGTTGCAGCGATTGACCTTGCCCAGATGTGGAGCTGATAGAGCAGTTAGCACTTTTGATTGTCGCGTTTGCGGCTGGAACGTTTTAGCGGAAAAATTTGCGAGCTCTATCCGTGCTCATAAATTGCACTACTCTCATTATTTTCGCCTTTCGAATGACAATTTCGAATCAATTAGCCGAATTGAGTGCTCTCCTCTGTTGTCAAGGTGATGACTATTTGGAAATTTGTCAACCGTCAAGCGGATCGCGTTTTCCACATATTTTTCAGCTTCGATTCGAATGTTGGCTGGCACTGTGTCGCTCTGGGATTCGAACCGATTCGCGTGATTGCTGCTGCCAAACTGAAACTGCGACCAGCGCGGCTCTCTGCTAAAGTACTAAAATCCGATCGACCCGCTTGGTTTCGGCCCCATCTCTGGTGGGGGTTCGGGCTCGCGTTTCGCCCAGCAGATGTTCCATGACAATACCAAGGGTGGCTATATAGTGAATGAGCACCAACCACCCCTCCCAGAGAGAGGGCTTACAGACGTCATAAACGTTATACAGGTACACTCATTTCACTAATGAAGAGAATTATCTTATTGATAATCTAGAGTTGTGGACTTGGCCACTAATGAAATAGTGCATTGAGTTCCCAGTTACTGGGGAACCTCATTTAGTGCAGTGTTTTCCGTAGCCCTAGCAGCGTCGCTGCACAGCAAAATATAGATTTTCTGAAGATTTTCGTAATTCTTCCAGTATTCCCAAGCGACTTGGTTTGAAAATACTTATATGTTAACTGTTTAAAACAAAGTGAAATAATTGAATAATGCCTCAGTGGGTTTGGTGGAAGAGCCGAGAAGGTCATGTCATCGCTGAAACGTCTGGTCCAATTGAGCTTCGGCTTTTTCTGTGCCCTAAACGGCATCGTGCCGTTCTATTTTGGATTTAGTTCGGGAAAACTGCATTGGTCTCGCGTCCTGGCCTACTATCGCATTATTCACAACTTCATTGTCATTGGACTTACAATAAAGTTCATAATAGACTATTGGCATTTCCATACCCATGTGGAACAGTCGAGATCCAAGCTGATGGAGCTGAACACCTTTACCCACTTTACCATCGTTTTGCTGTCGTTGCTCAGCTGCATGGAGTGCGCCCATCGGCAGCAGGATCGGATCTACGCGATGATAGAAAAGCTCTTGGACCTGGATCGACTAAGCATCGAACTGGGGTACATTGCCCCGAAGTCCCATCAGCGATACATCGGCCTGCTGGTTCTCGCTATAACCCCACTGCTGGCCCTTCGCCTCTTCATTCATGTGGGCCTGAATAAGATTCGCACTAGGCTGGGCTTCGATTTCCCCTGCAATTGCTTCCTGTCCGAGTGTATGATCCTCGGGATGAGCTCGGTGGGTTTCGCAATCATGGCGGAGATATGCCAATGCTGGTGGAGGCTGCAGACTGGACTGAAGCGGACTCTTCTGGATGATTCATTGCCAGATCAGCTGAACCAACTGCTGCAGCTGCAGCGGATGTTCCAGTGCCTGATCGATATTACCGCTGAGTTCTGCACCGTCTTCAAGTTTGTGCTTCTGTGCTTTCTGGTTCGGAATGTCTGGTGTGGCATCGTGATCGGATATATGCTTGTTCGCATCTTCTGTGGCCATGGCGTCTCTGAGCTCCACCTCTATCAGCTCTATCTGGCGTTTGTCATCTGCATACAGCCCCTGCTCTATTCACTCCTCTTGAACTGTCTGACGCACACGACGGACTCGCTCATGGAGACAACCAAAGAGATTGTGAGAGAATCGCAAGGACACGAACTTCTGGTGGAGCGAAGTGTGAGTATTGAACGAGTATTCTTGGAAGTCTTGGAATTTGGAAGCTGTTTAATCTTACAGATCCAGTGGTTCTCCTTGCAACTGGCCTGGCAGCACACGAACGTCCACGTTTACGGGACCTATCGCATCAATCGACGGCTGGTTTTTCAAAGCGCCTCTGTCATTCTACTGCATGTTTCTTATATGGTCCAAAGCGACTATAGGTCTATGTGAGAAATAAATCATATTGTAATGTCTTATATTAAAGTCGTATTTAAATACACTCGAATGTGTTCTGTGGGGAACATCAAATTAGGGTCAGTTTTTGTATCCCAGGAAGCCATGCAAGCTCAGATAGGCCCAAAGATAGCAGATAAAATTAAATATGGGTTTTTTAGAGTCCTTAGCGAAGCATCAAGAAAATTATTCCGATTACACAAACCTATGATATGCTATTCCTAGCTACGGAACGGCCCTTTTCTTTGGCTATATCTCGGCTATTTATGGGCCGATCAGGGCGTGGCATGGCTCTTCGTGATCGGGCGAGTCCTGCCAATCGACATCTAACGGAAAAATGGACATACATTTGTTCACGATTTTCGCAAAAAATCATGATGGTTACATCATTAAAATTGCCAAAAATCGGCCTCATTTTCGAAGTCGAGATTTTGATGCCGTTTGACTCTCTGGGTCCCCACGATCCTGGGAGAGTGGGTCCTGCACCGATCTGGCCCTTTTAGTCTGAAATATAGCCTACCGAAGATTTGTATTTGCGTATCTGTAAGATACTGGTTTCTTCTGTATGCTATATCTCTGCGATACGGCAGCCGATCTGGGCATGGCATGGCTCTTTGTGATCGGGCGAGTCCTGCTAATCGACAGCCACCGGAAAAAAGGACATCCATTTTTTCACGATTTTCGCAAAAAATCATGATGGTTACATCATTAAAATTGCCAAAAATCGGCCTCATTTTCGAAGTCGAGATTTTGATGCCGTTTGACTCTCTGGGTCCCCACGATCCTGGGAGAGTGGGTCCTGCACCGATCTGGCCCTTTTAGTCTGAAATATAGCCTACCGAAGATTTGTATTTGCGTATCTGTAAGATACTGGTTTCTTCTGTATGCTATATCTCTGCGATACGGCAGCCGATCTGGGCATGGCATGGCTCTTTGTGATCGGGCGAGTCCTGCTAATCGACAGCCACCGGAAAAAAGGACATCCATTTTTTCACGATTTTCGCAAAAAATCATGATGGTTACATCATTAAAATTGCCAAAAATCGGCCTCATTTTCGAAGTCGAGATTTTGATGCCGTTTGACTCTCTGGGTCCCCACGATCCTGGGAGAGTGGGTCCTGCACCGATCTGGCCCTTTTAGTCTGAAATATAGCCTACCGAAGATTTGTATTTGCGTATCTGTAAGATACTGGTTTCTTCTGTATGCTATATCTCTGCGATACGGCAGCCGATCTGGGCATGGCATGGCTCTTTGTGATCGGGCGAGTCCTGCTAATCGACAGCCACCGGAAAAAAGGACATCCATTTTTTCACGATTTTCGCAAAAAATCATGATGGTTACATCATTAAAATTGCCAAAAATCGGCCTCATTTTCGAAGTCGAGATTTTGATGCCGTTTGACTCTCTGGGTCCCCACGATCCTGGGAGAGTGGGTCCTGCACCGATCTGGCCCTTTTAGTCTGAAATATAGCCTACCGAAGATTTGTATTTGCGTATCTGTAAGATACTGGTTTCTTCTGTATGCTATATCTCTGCGATACGGCAGCCGATCTGGGCATGGCATGGCTCTTTGTGATCGGGCGAGTCCTGCTAATCGACAGCCACCGGAAAAAAGGACATCCATTTTTTCACGATTTTCGCAAAAAATCATGATGTAACCATCATTAAAATTGCCAAAAATCGGCCCCGCTTTCGAAGTCGAGATTTTGATGCCGTTTGACTCTCTGGGTCCCCACGATCCTGGGAGAGTGGGTCCTGCACCGATCTGGCTCTATTAGTCTGAGATATAGCCTACCGAAGATTTGGAGTTGCGTATCCTTAAAATACTGGTTTCTTCTGAATGCTATATCTCTGCTATACGGCAGCCGATCTGGGCATGGCATGGCTCTTTGTGATCGGGCGAGTCCTGCTAATCGACTGCTATCGGAAAAAGGGACATCCATTTTTTCACGATTTTCGCAAAAAATCATGATGTAACCATCATTAAAATTGCCAAAAATCGGCCTCATTTTCGAAGTCGAGATTTTGATGCCGTTTGACTCTCTGGGTCCCCACGATCCTGGGAGAGTGGGTCCTGCACCGATCTGGCCCTATTTATCTGAGATATAGCCTACCGAAGATTTGGATTTGCGCATCTGTAAAATACTGTTACTTTATTTTATTCTTCCTTTCATTTTAGCAGGTCGCACCCTTCCGTGCCTAGAAATATCTTCTGCGTACCCGTGGTCACCGATTTGCCTACCATTGTTTCCTAGGGGCATCACCCTTGTGGTCGTCTGGTAACCTAGGGGATCCTGCGCACGGGGCCACGATGCCCGATGCCGGTTCCTGTCGCGCGAGGCTGAGGCTTTTGGCCTGGCCGACCTTGGGTCCGGCCACTGCCGTGGCCCTCTTCCTTGCTTTCCACGCTGTTTGGTGGCAGTATTGGCTGTCCCGGTGTGCGCCATAGTCCTGATGCCGCTGCTGAGTCGACAATATGGTGTTCGGTCCGCTTCAGTAGGGACCAATGATCGACGGCGGAATCTTTGGTTCCTACCAACGGGAATGAATATCAGCAACCCATTCATACGCCGGCGACTCAAACGCTGGGCTTCAGCTTCGAGACGCGTGAGTGAATCAGACAGAGTCCTATCCAAGCATTAACAAGGCGTACTCCAGACAGACTCCATACTCCAGACTCCAGTCCTAACCCAGTCACACAGAGTCATAACGCAGCAGGACAGAAGCGCACCCCTGCAAGATCATACCCTAACAAGCCATCGTCATCCTTCGACCTGGCCATCGACAACAAGGACTTTGACTATGTCAATCAAGGGACGGGCTACTCGGGTTACTAGACTCTAGATAGATATTGTTGCTGTTAGGTTTAAGGATATACGCGTATATGTATATGTTTATATTGTAGATACAAATTTTATCCACTTGTTTATTTAGTTATTCTAAGCTGAGTTTTGATGAATAAAACTATTGAAAAATCATCCTTGCTGTATCCTTTATGGGGGGGAACTATTCCGATTGCAGGCGTGGCACGCCCAGATCTTTTCACAAATAGCGGAGAATTCTAAATATTGT